AGAAAGTGGTCGCTTTTCTGTTCAGAGAGTTGTTGCTCTTCTTTTCTTCCATCTCCTGTTGAGTTTGTAGGTGTTCAGATTGGTTTGATCCCTATCCAGCTGACTTCCTGAGAGGAGACGAAATGCAGGTCTCCTACTCCTCCACCATCTTGCTCTGCCCCCGCTCTTAATATATCTTTTAAATCCATGTAGTCCAGTGTGTCATTCAAAACCATTGTTTCCTTGCTGATCTTCTGCTTTGATGATCTGTCCTTTGCTGTAAGTGGGGCATTAAAAATCCTCTGCTATTATTGTATTATTATGAATGTGTTCCTTCATGTTTGTTATTAATTGTTTTATATATTTGGATGCCTCAAATTAGGGGCATAAATAGTTACATTCGTTAAATCTTTTTGGATAGTCCTCTTTATTATGATACAATATTCTTCTTCATCTGTTGTTAGTCTTTGGTCTAAAATCTAGTTGGTCTGAAGTAAGTATTTGCTACTCTGGCTTTCCTTTGATGTCCATTAGCATGATAGATGGTTCTCCAGCCCCTCACTCTCAATCTGCAGGTGTCTTTAGGTCTAACTTGAATCTCTTGTAGGAAGCATATGAATGGGCCTTGTTTTGTTATCCATTCTGGCAGCCTATGTCTTTTGAGTGGAGCACTTAGTCCATTTTTATTCACAGTAATTATTGATAGATGCATATTTAGTGCCATTCTATTACTTGTTTTGCCATTGTTTCTATAGATTTTCTCTGTTCCTTTGTAGTCTTTGTTGTTTTTTGTCCTTCCCAAAGAGTCTGCTTAGCATTTCTTGGAGGGCTGTTTAGCAGTCACACACTCCTTTAGTTTTTGTTTGCCTGGCAAACTCTTTCTCTCTCTTTCTTTTCTGAATGACGACCTTGCTAGATAGAGTATTCTTGGCTACAGATTTTTCCCATTCAAAATTCCTGACTTTAAAAGCCCAAACTAAGATGACAGTTCTTTGAGTATGAGAGTCACCAGAGTATTTTGTGTAAAACCTGAACTTGTTGATAGGCAGAAGACTAAGTAGTGAGACCAAACAGAGTAGCAAACAAGTAGAGGATATTAGCAGAGAGAACTCCTGTAGAGATATAAATGACCTGCATCCCGTGGGTAAGTTGAGACACTGACATTGAAAGGACTACTGTCTCTTCTGCATGGCCCTGAGAATCCAAATGAAGTTGGACGTGTGCATATCTATTGCGGTTAGTGAATAGTCACTGCCACCATCCCTGCAGAATACAGTTCACTAAAACTCACTTCCTTATATTCTATCCATCCTACAGAAGAAGAGGAGTTCCAGGATGTCCATTGGTTAGACATTGGTAGTGGAATTAAAGTCTTGTCCTTTCCCAGATAGATTCATGCTAGTGTGAGCAGAAAGGGAAGTTAAAGAGGCTGAAGAAACTAAAAGCGTTCTGAGTACCACATCTCTATCATTTAGTGTCTGAGACCCAAGAGGGACCTACTTAACAGCATTTGTGGATTAATGACTTTATTCATGAGTAATCAGAACAAGAGAAAGCTGATTGCAGTGCTTCTCAAATTTTAGCAGGCAACAAGAAGATTCTGCTCCCAGAGTTTCTGATTCAGCAGGTGTATGTGAGTTAGGACCTGAGAATTTGTATTTTTAATACGTTCAGGTGAAACTGATGTTTGTTCCTTCATGTTTTGGTCCCAAAGCATGGGACTATGCTTTGAGGACTGCTGGTCTAGTGTCTAGCTACTCAAAGGAAGAGCAAGAGTGGTATCTTCTGGGAGCTTGTTAAAAAGGCAGAATGTTGAACCTAGTTTGACAGAATCAGAATTAGCATTTAAGAGTCCTCTGAGGATTGGTAAGATGTGAAAATTTGGGATGCAGGGTTTTAGTACATAGGTTCACAAATATGAGTTAGGTAAAGCATAAACCCAGCATGGGTTTGTGACACTCCTGCTTCAAATGCTTTTTTCCCCCATGCTATGATTGAAACAAAAATAGTAATACAAAATTTAGAAATGACTGCAAAGCATTTGAGACCCCTGAGCACTGCCAATGGGTAGCACTAACAAACTTCCTCAGACTTGATATCTACATTTGGTTTGAAAACAGAACAAAACAAAACATTGGGATAGATGAGCATATAATTTCTGACTTCAACAAATCATTTTCATGTTAGATAAAAACTGAAGAAGTTTTAATCTGTTCTGCACTCCATTGGGTGAGAGACAATATGAATAAACTGTTTCATTCCCCCAACAGCAACAGCTCAGAGTCAGCAGTCAGCTAATCGCCTGCATGAAATTATCACTGTGGCCAGCTTGTGCTCTGTGGCTCTGGTGGGTAATGTAGGGGAGGAAGTGGGGGAACAGATGGTGAGATGGGTTTGTCAGGCTCTGTCTCCTTCCCCATTGCAACGCTAGCCTTGGAACAACAACAGGAAGAACAATTACTCCTTTACCTAACTTGTATGACAGCAATACTCTTCTATTTTCATACTCTTTTTCTCTTTCTTTCCCATTTTGTTATTATTATTTTTTGAAGTATCAGACCTTTTAGGAGAGACATTTACATTCGATTTGATGTTTATAACCTGAGGAACAAACACATTTTATTTCTAACTTTTCTTTTTTAAGTTTCCCTTTTTGTGTGTTTAGAAGAGGACAAAATATTGGTATTCTGGAGATGTGAGATTTCTGAAGAATCTGAAAGTCCTCCCTCTTCTGATTCTCCAATCCTGGAGTTTCCTTGAAAGCAAGGTGAACCTGGAGTGTTAGATTTATTCTCTCATGTTTCAGCCTGATTTTTTTTTTTTTTACCCATGTGCCTTTTTCTTTTCCCCTCCCCTTCAGAATGTTTCCTGCCTTCTCTACCATGCCCATCCCTTGGCAGCTCATGGTTGGTAGGAGCACAAGCCAGGGTCAGATGCCACGTCCTGCCTCATATTGTGCCCATCATTGCTGAAAGTGGAGTGAAACTCCAGAGCTGAAAAGCAGAGTCACAGTGAGAGAATGGGGAATTATCTCCTGAGAGAATTCAGGTGAGTCTGAAGCTGTTTGGAAGAACAGGGAGTGGGAGACTGGGTGTATGCATTTGGAACAGTGAGACTGTGGTGCTTTAAGAGATTTGAACCTGAAGACAGCATTCTTTTAGAACACACAGTGACCCCTCACCACCTCAGTTTACTCACTCTTTTGCCTTACTTTGGAACCATGGTAGGTTGCCAGATTTAGAAAATAAAAATACAGGTTGCCAAGTCAGATTTGAATTTCAGATAAACAAACTTTTTTTTTTTTTTTTTTAGTGTAAGTATGCCTTAATCAATATTTGGAGCATTATTGCATGGGCCATACTTACACTAAACAAATTGTTGTTTATCTGAAATTCAAATTTAACTGTCATTTTACATTTTATCCAGAAACCCTAGTCTGTAGTCACTCGAATCTTTCTATACCTTTCTATCCTCATCTGGGTATACGGTTTATCTTCTTATTCATCAACTTCATGACCCCATGATCCTTCATGAGAATAAACAGTCAGGTTCTTGAAAATTATGGATGCAAAATAATGTACTCAAATGCTTTTGATTTAAGTAGTGCCTTCTCTTGGTGATATTTAGCCTTCCTCATCTATGAATGCTTTTTTTTTTTTTAAGATTTTATTTATTTGACAGAGAGAGAGAGTGCACCAGCAGAAGGATTGACAGGCAGAGGGAGAGGGAGAAGCAGGCTCCCTCCTGAGCAGGAGCCTGATGTGGTACTTGATCCCAGGAGGATCATGACCTGAGCCAAATGCAGACACTTAACCGACTGAGCCACCCTGGTGCCCCTCAAATGCTTTTGAGGTCATAGAATAGATGTGAATAACAGACATTCTTACGGCTTGCTTAATCTTAAAGGATTTTCTTTATAGCACCTCACTCTCCCATCCACTTACCCTACCTCCTTGCAGCCTAATTATATTATGTTATATAACAAGACTAGATTTTTAAAATTAAGATATAATTGACATATAATATTGTATAAGTTTAAAGTGCACAATTTGTTGATTTGGTACATTTATATATTACAATATGATTACTGCCATAGTATTAGCCAACACTTCTATCACATTACATAAATTATCACTTCTTTTTTGTGATTGGAATAATTAAGATCTAGTTCCTTAGCAAGTTTGAAATTTACAATCCAGTGCTGTTGATTATAATCACTATTTTGTGCATTAGATCTCCAAGACTTATTTATCTACTAGTTGCAAGTTTGTACCCTTAAACAATATCTCCCTAATTTCTCCACCTCCAGCCCTGACAACCACCATTCTACTCTCTGTTCCTAAGAGTTAGCTTTTTAAAATTCCACATAGAAGTGATATTTGTTTTTCTCTGTCTGACTTATTTCACTTAGCATAATGCCCTCAAGTTCATGACATGCCATGTTGTCACAAATGGCAGGATTTCTTTTTTTCTCATGGCTGAATAATATATATGGACATACTCTATCCATCATACCTATCTATCATCTATCTATCTATCTAACTATCTATCTATCTATCTATCATCTATCATCATCATCATCTATCATCTATTATCTATCTAATCTATCATCTATCTGCCACATCTTGTTTTTTTTAAAACTTTTCCATCTTCATTTTATTTTATTTTTTTACATATACACATTTTTTTAATTATTATGTTATGTTAATCACCATACATTACATCATTAGTTTTTGATGTAGTGTTCCATGATTCATTGTTTGCATATAACACCCAG